TTTTATTTTTATTTTAACAAAAAAATAACTAATTTCATTAATTTAACAAGGTAAAGTAAAAGACTTAAAGCTACAAATTTAATAATTCACGAGGCTGAAACAGCAAATAATGATAATGACTTGCCTAAAACCCTAATTGATCATTAGTTTTTTTTAGAAAGTGCATGCTTAACTTTAAATATTAGATGAGCAATCCGCTCTAGTCAGTTGTATGAATATGAGATAGAACAGTTCACTTTTTATAGATGACACATTTAAATTATACGGATCTCAATTTTTATTTTTTTATTTAATATGTAATTAATTTTAATTTGTTAAAAAATTAAATATTAAATTTAAATCTCTTTATCTCAAATTTAAATTAAAAAAAAAAAGAAGAAAAATGCTAAACAAAAAGGCTTTCTGTACCTAATGTCAGAGCCATGTACTTTGCACAAGATTTTGAATTATTGTCCCTCTCTCACAAACCCATAGCTCTGAAAGGGTTCTGATAATAACAACAAATAAAATTAGTGCTCTTACACACACAGACATGAATATTTTTCAGTCCGCTCTTCCACGCCACAACAGGACAAGTAAATTCAGAGGAGCACAAATCGATACCTTGAAACATGAGGAATCTCGCAAGAGCTTGAAAAGGAGAATGTGGTCGAAAACAAACAATTCTGGTGCTTTTGAATTTTTTTATTTTTAAACGGATATAATTTAAGAGGAGAAAATAAAAAATTATAACATGATATTCATATGGTTTAATTTTTTATTATTGTAAAAATATTAAATAAACTTAATAAATGGTGTATGAGAACTGATGCGTGCTTCTGAAATTTTTTTTTTTCGCGTGAGTAACGATGAACAGAAGTTTCAATATCACATCATCTTTCTTTTTTTTTTTTTCTTACATACAATGTTATGATCGATATAAATCTAATTAATTCACAGGGCATGAAGCAAGCAACAGGGGAACAAGTCGTGTCAGGGTTGCATGGTGTGTGATAGAAGAGATTCCGAACCAGTGCACATATGTCATGTGGATGGTAGAATTTCAATCAATTTAGTATTGATAAATAGGTGATCATGAATCAATCTTTTATACTTCCGATTTTATTATATAATAAATAAATTTTATTAAATATAAAAATAATTTTTAATATTAAAAAGCTTATTATTATTAAATAATTTAAATTTAAAAATATATAATATAATTGAATAATTTAAATTATAAAATAAAATCTTATTTAAATTACACAATACTTATGTTTAATTATTTCAACAGAGGGTGGGGAGCGGGGGGCAAAGTTGGGATTTGAAGCTTTATATTTTATCTGATTTGATATTTGAATGCATATTTAAAAAGTAAGTGTATATTTTTTTTTGAACAATTTGACATGAGATGAAATTAAACTCACTCAAAAAAATATATATTTATTTAATGAGATTAATATCATTAAATTCAAAAAATTAGATACAATAAATAAGTGTATATTTAATAAGTATGGTGTATATTTAACAAGTACCACTTGTTAAATATACATTCAAATCAGACAGAATATAAAAGGCACCCTGCAGTCCCTCCATGTGAATCTACAGTAGTATATCTCACAAAATCTTGCTGAAACACTTGAATATAAAAGGAAAAGATAAAAAGGCTGAAGTGTTTAGTCGTTTTCACTGAATGGGTTACACACCCAACACACGGTTCTTCGGCTCCTCTGATATTTCAGGTTTGATTGAACATTGAAGGCAAAGTGCTAGAGGTATATTCAGTTTTCTTTTTATTTATTTATTTTTTACTCTTTATGAGGTCAAGAAATGATCTAACGGTTAAAATAATTTTATATTTCGTTCTATGATTTTCATTGCTTCAACTTGGGGTAGGGATAGAAAATTCTGTAATTGGAAAAAAATTTGAAATCAATCAAAATTATAATTGGCAGGTTAGGATTGACCGGATATGAGGTTTTTTTTTTTTTTTTTTACCAAATTTTAATTATAAGTGAATCTCACTCAAACGAGTTTTGGTTATTGAGGTCCAAAAATAGAAAATCCAATCCTGGGTTGAGTACAACAGAATTTTTTAGACTTTTTTTTTTTTAATTTAATTTTTTTTTAGGCATTCATTCCCATTTTGAAGTTTTTTTGACCTTTTTTAAATTTATATTTAAAATTTAATACTTTACTAAATTATTTTTAGGCCTTCCCCTTCCGTTCTCTTCCATTCCAGCTCCAAATATTGGCTAATTTAATGTTTTGAGTTTTTTAAAACCAAAATCAAACTAAATGGTTATTTAAAAAATTAACCAAAACTAAAAACAGTAATAATAATTTTGATTTGATTAATTAGTAAAAATTAATAACAAAAATTTTGTTTACAAGTGATTCAATTTCAATTATAACTAAGACTGAACTGTACTATCCCTTCTTAGATGTGTATCGCTAGTTTTCATAACATTCTTCTCTTCTACGAAAATGCCGTGTTCTCCCAACTTTACCCACTGGATTCTCTCTTATCAACTTCCTTTATATCAACGTTTTACTAAATTAAAAAGTAACATTTTTCCAACCTTTTTTTATAAAGAAAAAAAGTTGTTTAAAAAGTAAAATCTTCATTCACAAAAATTCTTCCTACCCTCAATTCTTTGACTTTGATTATTGTTCCTAATGCAAAAAATGTTGTACGGTGCTTTGGTTTTTGATTTTTTTTGTCCATCTTCACTTTTGCAAATATATAAAAAATATTAATTAAAATAAATATTAAATATATTAAATCAACAGTATTTAAATTAAGCAAAAAAATATTACAAGATTATATTGTTTTAATAAATTTTTATTAAAAATAATAAAATAATTTATTTTTAAAAAATAATAAAATATTCTGTTATTAAAGTAAAAATAAGATTATTTTAATATTTTTTATAATATTTTATTAAAATAATTTAGTTTTGTATTTTTTCTTAATTTTATAAAAATTTGACTAATAAACAGTCATCCTATATATTATATTAAAAATATTTATATGTTTTTAAGATATTAAAAAATTAAAAAACCTATAGTTACAACATACGATCTAAAATGAAGTCTTCATCTTTTATCTCCTTTTTTTTTTTTTTAAATGCTATTGTAAAAAAATAAAAATGTTTCTTATAAATAATTTAAGAGGAGAAAATAAAAAATTATAACAT